TTTCTTTTTCTAGAAGCTTAAGGTAAAGCATTAGGTTGTTTATTTGAGTGACCTCTGTTTTCCTAGGGGCATTTACTGTTAAGAATTTCTCTTGTAGAACTGCTTCCATTGTGTCTCACAGATTCCTGCATGTTGTATTGGCATTTTCATGTTTTTTTGAATTTATTGGTGCATTTTAGGTATACAGTACAGTTACATTCATTATTGGGATCTTGTACCTTTACATGACAGGTCTTGGTTCTCATTTTTTTTTGGCATTATCATTTAATTGTAGAAACATCTAATTTCCTCTGTGACCCAGTGGTTGTTTGTTATTTAATTTCCATGTATTTGTGAAGTTCTTGTGGTTTCTTAGGCTATTGATCTCCAGTTTCGTTGCACTATAGTCTGATAATATATGTGGGATAACTTCAGTTTCTTTGTATTTACTAAAGCATGTTATGTATGTTAGTATGAGCTAGCATGTGGTCTAGTTTGGAGAATGACCCACATGCAACCGAAAATAATGTATATTCTGATTTTGTGGGGTGGAACACTCTGTAGACATCTACTAAGTCCATTTGTTCGAAGACTTGGTTCAGTTCTGTTATTTCGTTGCTGATTTTTTGTCTAGATGATCTGTGTATTTGTGTCAATGGAGTATTGAGGTTCCCCACAACAGTTGTATTAGTGCTTATTTCATTTTTCATATCCATTAATATTTGTTTTGTATAGTTGGGGGCACTAGTATTTAGTGCATATATATTTATGATTGTCATTTCTTCCTCTTGTATTGTTCCCTTTACAAGATGTAGTGGCCTTCTTTGTCTCAATTAGTTTTGGTTTGAAATCTATTCTGTCTGCAAATAAGATAGCTATCCCCACTTTTTTCTGGGCTCCTTTTGTATGGAGAACTGTTTTCCATCCTATTACTCTCAGTCTGTGAATTTCTTTGTGGATTAAATGGGTTTCTTGTATACAGCATATTGTTGGATTTTGCTTCTTAATCCATTCTGCCTGCCTATCTCTTTTGATTGGTGAATTGAGGCCATTAACATTGATGGTTATAAGTGTTATGTATTGGCTTTTCATTGTCATGTTATTTTCCTGTTGTTGGTTCTTTCATTTTCTCTCTGTCCCTTTAATTTCTTGCCTTGCCTGGTGTATTTGCTCTGTTGGCCCTTATGGAATTGTGGTCTTCATTTTCTTTTTCCTGGTTATTGTTTAGAAGTGTTCGGAGTGCTGGTTTGGTGTTCATGAAATTTCTGAGGTGTTCTTTGTCATGGAAGCATTGTATTTCCCCATCAATTTTGAAAGACAGTTTTGCAGGATACATCAGTCTAGATTGGAGTTTGTTTTCTTTTAGGACTTGAAATACCTCACTCCAGGTTATCCTTTACTTGAGGGTTTGTATTGAGAAGTCTGCCACGATTCTGATGGGCTTTCCTTTGCAGGTCATTTGTTTCTTTTCTCTTACTGCTTGTAGTATTTTGTTCTTCTCTTGGGTTTCTGGGATCTTGATATGTCTAGATGTAGATTTTTTTTTTTTTTTTGATCATCGCTAGTTGGAATACTTATGCCTCATTTATCTGTATATGAAATTCTTCCCCTCTGGGAAGTTTTCTGTCATTAATTCTGTGAAGTTTTTTTTCATGTCATTTGAACTTTTTCTTGCTACTTCATGGATTCCTATCAGTCTTATATTATTCTTCTTTCCCTCATCTCAGAGTTGTTAGATTGATTTCACATGGTCCCTTACTGTTTTTAGGAGATGTCTCTTTTCATGGTCACTGACCACAATCATATCTTCTATATTTAAAATTCTATCTTCACAGTTTTTCATTCTGAGGTAAAGGCTTTCTATAGAGTTTTTAATCTCCTGGATATCTGTTTGAATCTGTTTCATGGATTCCATTTCTTTCCTATGTTGGGCATTCAAGGTTTCCATTTCTTTCCTATGCTAGCATTCATGTTTTCTATTTTGGTCCTGATCTCATCTACTTTTTTATCTGTTTCTGTTCTAGCATCTCTAATCATGCCTTTCACTCTTCTCACCACCTCTGTGGTCATCTGAGAAATTATTTGTTTTGAATTTTTCTGGAGCCTCATTTATTTATTTATTTATTTATTTTTACTTCCTGTGGGTTCAGGGTGTCCAGATGGTTGACTGTCAGACTTTTCCATCTCATTTCCCCCATAGTTTACATTTGGTAGAGTGGACGTCTGGGTTTGTGTCTTATTTAAATGCCTTCTCATTTCTATTTTTGTCATTGGTCCTGTCCTTGGTTTAATTTCTGGGTTAATATTTTAATCTTCCAGATATGACTGGTCTTTAGGTTTTGAGTCTCTAATGTCTCTGAGGCATTGTCATTTTCATTATACCAGGGAGGACAACTGATTAGATCAGTCACAACATCTTAGCCCCAGTGATATAATCAGCAACACAGTAGCATCAAGCACAGCTTAGAAAATGACAGTTTGTGGTAGTTATTAATCTATCACCTTTAACTGTGTGAATTAAATCAAAATTGTGGACCAAACCAGAGTATGTTTATAGTGAATGAACTCTTCAGTATAGCAACTTTACCCTTCAGGATGGGGATTTAGAAAGAGTTGTGGAGGAGGGATAGATAGAGAAAGGTTAGAAGTGAGGTCAGAAGACACAGGAAGATCACACAAAGTCTAGGGAGCTGTTGAAGAGAAGAGGAGAAAGAACAAAATATACCCAAGAACAGAACAAACTAATAGCAATAGGGAGGCTAGAGATTGTAATCACTTCCTTCTACAACTAATGGCAATTGAGAGAAGGAAAATGAGAAAAGGAAAAGAAAGAAAATAAATTCTTATTAAGATAGGAACAGGAACAAAAATGGAGAGTAATGGAGGTCAATGTGGGAGAGAGAGAGAGAGAGAAAGAGAGAGAGAGAGAGAGATTAAAAAAGGAAAATTTTCTTGAGAAAAAAGATAAATTTTTAAAAAAATGATTGGAGATAAGAGAAAAACATTACTTTGAAAATAAAAAATACAAATAGAAATAACAAATTTCCTTCAGGGTATGCCTCTGTTGACACAGTAGACAGTGTGGGCAGGAGAGTGCAGGTCTAAGCTAATTAGTCTCAGCAAGGCAGCAGCTGCCCCCTGAGGTTCAGGCTGATTTTTGGCTGCAAGGCCCAAGTTGAGATCTCTGACCTGGAGGGTTGAACTCTGAAAGGTTCCACCTCAGGTTCCAGCTGTCTTTCCCCTGAAGTTAGGTTCCAACATGAGGTGCTGGTCCCTCTGGCTTACCAACTATGGTGGTGTGGTGTGTCTTTATCACAGATTTTCTTCACTTTTCTAGTGGGCTTCAGTGTTCATCTGGGAGCCTCAGAGAGGCTCTCTTTCTCTTGTTCGTGGGGGCTAGGTGTGGGGAGGGGGCACAAACACAGCTGTGTTGACACCTGCATGGCTGGGCTCCTCTGTGGTGCTCGGTCAAAGGGGCGGGCCTATGTTTCCTATGTTTGAGGTTCACCGAGCATCTTTGGCTTCTGAGTTTATAGTTTTCATTGTGTTTTATATTTATTCATTATGACATCTTCAAATATTTTTCCTCACCAACTGCTCAACTTTCAGAGATTCTAGTTACATCTGTATTTGATTACTTGAACTTGTCCCATAGCCACTAATGCTCTCTTTGTTTTATGTTCACTTTTTGTTCTTGGTTTCATTTTGTATGTATTCAAATTTAAAATTTATTTTTCTGTGCTAATACTTTTTAATCCTACCATGTATTTTTTTCTGCTTTGAAAGACTGTTTATTCTGAGTTTTACTTGAAATATAAGTAATATTAAATCATGGTTAGTTTATCCAAGATACCTGATGAACACTGAATACTTTAAAAGTGTACTTTGTAGATTTCTCACTGTCAAATGACACCGGACATCTTCTCCGTGTGAGGCTGGAGGCCAGGTCCTCCAGCGACTGTGAAGAACAGCAAACCATGGCAGTGTCCTTGGTTTCTTGTCACAGAAGTTGCAGTTTACCAGAAGAGAAATACAGTGATTAAAGTCTTTAAAGTCATTTGAAATCTCTTATCTGAAGTGAGTTTTGACTCTCCTACCTGGAGAAGCTTCAATAAAATTCATTTAAATGAATGAATTCACTTAAATGAACAGACTTTCAACATAAGTTTATTTGAGAGAGAGACAGCGGGGTGGGGGAGAGAAATTTTCTTGCCTGTCCCCTGCATGGTGAAAGGGAGGGAGTTAGCGGGGAAGACAGCAGGAGAACTGTGAAAGTATTCTGAGTATTCTGGCATAGCTTCGTCTTGGTGCCTGGTTATCTAAGAAGAACACATGGCTGGCAACTTCTTGTCACTAAGCCCTTTGTAATACACGTGGTACTAGAGTGACTAACAGAGCTAAACCCAGAGTGAAAAATGTGAAAGCTCTACCTGGAATGTCTCAAGATAGGAACAGTGAGCCCCTGTGTTAGTAAAACTCGCAGGAGCCCTGAAAATTCATCCCTTCTTGGAGCCTTGCTGGAGGCTGTAGCAAAGCACAGTTGTACTAGCTCTGGCCCTGTCAAAAAGTCATCTGGAGGTCCTTGGAATGGGAGGAAAGGGGAGGTATTCTTGATGGAATGCTGTCCTAGAAACATGGACTATTAGACTAAAATGTTTCTATAGCAGATCTAATGCAAACTTCTGCATTTACAGAGAAATAAAGGAAATTTTCCAAGATTGAATAGAGTTAGCAACAGGTAAGAAATGAGAATCTGGGTCTGTTGTACCCTTGAAAGAACTGCTTTCTGATTAATGGTTAGAGGTATCTTGCCTTCAAAGACTAGTCCCAGCTTTTAGGGCAGGAAGATAACTTAGAGAGACCCTGCCTCAAAATAAAAAAATACATAAAAAGGGCTGGGGATATAAGTCAGTGGTAGATCACCCTTGGTTCAGTCCCCAGTACTGCAAAGAAAAGCAGAACAACCCACAGCAGCACAGGCAACTGTACATATGTGTTTCACCCTCTTCCTGTCTTCACAGATAACATTTGACAACAAGGCTCATAGTGGAAGAATTAAAATACGTTTAGATAATGATATTTCCATTAGAGAATGTAAGGACTGGCATGTATCTGGATCAAGTAAGTGACAAGCTTTACTCTCACAATGGTTATTAAATAATGTAAGATTGTTATTAAAATCCTGCCTCCAGGGTATATAGAATATCAACTAAAATATTTCCAAGTCCCCAGTTCGCCACAAGTATATCAATGTATTGCAGACATTTGATGTTCCAGGAAATACTATAGGTGTTAGAATCGAAATGGTTCCCTGTGTTCTCCATGCTTCTTCCCTTGCCTACTGCTCACCAAGAACATACTTACAGCTCCCCCACCAAAACCCTACATGTACCCCAACCAATATACATTGGGAATATATTACATAAATACTTCCATCTTCATTTTTCTCATTTAATATTTTAAAATATTTTTGAGAGTCGGGCAGGTGGCCCATGCCTATAATTTCAGCACTTTGGGAGACTGAAGCAGGAGAAACTCAAGTTTAAGCCAAAGCTATACAACTTAGCCACTCAAAGAGACCTGGTCTCAATTTTTTTTAAAGGGCAGGGATGTATCCCAGTGCAAAGGCTCTAGGTTCAATCACTAGTACTGGGGGAAAAAAGTCCTTGAAGGAGAAAATCCTTGAGAGAGGCAGAATCCTTATTTTTACAGATCAAGAAACCAATGCCCAGATGTGATGCCTGGTGTCCATGGTCAGACACTGGGGAAAAGTCAGGTAGGATTTGACCCCGAAGCCTCCCACTCATTATAATGGTCTTACATTGGTTAAAAAGTAGACTAAATATGAAAAGCTGTGTTCTAAAGTGTGAACAAGAATTCAGGTGTAGACTGAGTACTTTCAAGAATGTTGGAACTGAATAGGAGAAAACTGCCTGGAAAGAATGTGTTTACCTCATTTTCAAGTTCCTTGCAAGTAACACAATGGTGTGTCATGCAGGCCTCAGTCCATAGGTAAGGGGATCTCGGATTCTAATGGGAAAAGGAATGAGCTCAATAAGATACAGTTTTCCTGGCTCCCCAGTCAGTAGGTGTGGGGTGAGGTCAAAGAGTCTTACACACAGGTCCAACCTATATCCTTCTGTGGCATAATGAAACATATCTTTAAGAAAGAAGTTTTGCTACTTACATACATTAACTATATTATATGTCTTCCCCATAGCCCAAGACAATTCCTCTTCACTGAATATGGCCCAGGAAAGTCAGGTGTTACCTACTCAAGGGCTGCAGGTTGGACATGCCCAGTAGTCCTTCCTCAGGCTGTTCTTGAATACTCACTCTCTTAGGGTTTCTGACTTGTTAATTTACCATGTTCAGAAGTTATACTGAGATAACCAGCATAAATTAGATGAAATTTCAGAATTATAGTGCTCTTTTCACTAACAGGCAACTTCAAATATATAAAGCTCTTGAATCACAAACTGTATTCCAATCACAAATTCATTTATTTGAAACAAAAGCTTGTTTTGTTATCTGAAACATCATCATGATTTTCCACAAACTTTACAAAGTGGAAAGGAAAGCATCTGAAGGAGCCTGAGATATGGGCTTTCTCTCAAATGTTTGTTTCTTGGTTTAAAAGTTTTACTAAATTTAGACATTTGTATAACAATTAGATGACCCACTGGCAAACTTAACAGGATGTTTCATTTTCAGAACTAGTCTTAAGAACTGTATCTTCCTCTCAACACAGAGCAGGCTAATTTGTTAAATGGAACCCAACTCTATAGCAGAGCACATGATAGCTGAGACCTCTTTCATCTTCTTATCGTCTCCAGTCCTACTGGAGCTTTTGGACGTTTGATTCTCCAAAAACCTCTGTGTGGGTGATTCCTTATTGTTGTTGAAATATCACTTAAAACCTACTCCTCCTTTGGTGTGGCCTTCCCCAACCACACAATGTATGGGAACCTCTCGTCTCCCGGGCCCCCACACCAACCTCCTCCATATGCGGCGTTGGTTTTCACGTGTTGGCATCATCTTGAGGGCTTGCAAAGACACAGAGCTTCCACCGTGGGGAGTCCAGGGTAAGACCTGAGAATGTGTGATTCTAAGAAGTTCACAGGAACCACAGGTGCTGAAAACAGGCTGCCAATCCTTACCGTAGGGTGTGTACCTTTGGACAAATCATGTACTTCAGATTTTTCACCTACAAAGTGGGGGTAATCATGTCATCTCATTGGGATTACTGTGGAGATCACATAAGTTCATGCATATAAAGTGCTTGGAACTATGACCAGTAAGAAATGTCCTCAGCACATGTCAACTATGATGATTTATTTTGTTTATATCACTTCTGCCTAAAAATATTTTGCTCATGTACTTGTTTACTTCTCTGCTTGTCTCATTGCGGTGGGAAGTTCCATAAGATGAGGGGCCTTCTCTGTCCTTTTCCAGTGTGTGTCAGCATCCAGCAAAGTGCCAGGCACATAGTGGGCACCTAGTGAATACTTTATGCCCAGATAACTATATGTTAATTGACTGTGCAGGAAGGCTGTGTTTAGAACAAGTGAATACAAGCTGATAATAAATGATCTTTGGTTTATGGTTCAGGCAATTTTTTTGAAAGAAGGTTTATCAGGGTTTCTTTGTTATCTTTCTGGAAAGAATGCTAAAATTATCTAAATGATTCTAAAAAGAAACTAATGTCATAGTATGAATGACTCTTAATGTAATCTTCTTTGCTTTCAGTTCAGAAGAACACTCATTACATGATGATCTTTGACGCCTTTGTCATTCTGACTTGCGTGTCTTCACTGCTCCTCTGCGTTAGATCTGTGATTAGAGGACTTCAGCTTCAGCAGGTAGAGGCTGGGCTCTCTAGCAATGCTACTGATATTCTGATTGACAGAGAAGCTCACATGTCTCTCCTCTTTTCCCTAAAGGAATTCGTCAATTTTTTTCTCCTCCATTATAAGAAGGAAGTTTCTGTTTCTGACCAAATGGAATTTGTCAATGGCTGGTACATTATGATTATTATTAGTGACATTCTGACAGTCATTGGTTCAATTCTGAAAATGGAAATCCAAGCTAAGGTAAAATTTTTTTTTCTTAATCATGCCGTCTTTAGAATCAGATTAAAGTGAATGGTATTTTATACAAAAATGTAAGAATTTCAGAGTAAATGATTTTTCCCAAGACTTATGTTGAGTAAACTGGACGTTGAAAACAGTAATTGTCTTGACACCAGTCGAGCAGTCTCTTAGGCAGGGTTTTTCAAAATATATTCCACAAACCACTGGATCAGAATCCTTTGGGTGCCTAGCAAAAATGTCTCATGTTTAACCTACTGGATCCATACTCTTTGTGTGGGGCCTGTGAATTCTTGCACACACAAAGATACACACACGAAGATAATTAAGAGTTAAAACAGACTTTACAAGAAATGTTAAAATCTTCAACAAAAAAAAGAGGGCTGGAGGAGAAAAGTGGGGTCAGAGTACTGTTTTGTTAGTGCTTCCATTTATTTGTTCTATCCAAGGCTATCTTTTTTTTTTAAATACCAGGGTTCTAACTTGGGACCTTGCACTTGCAAGGCAGGTGCGGCACCACTGAGCTAAATCCCTGCTGGCCCAGGCCATTCTTTTTTTTTAGATTAACCTAGTCTAGAAATCAACCCTTCCCCCCAAAAAAAGTCAAATTGAAAAATTGTTCAAACTAATCTTACTCCATCTTGCATTTTCCCAGGCTTCATACAGCTAAGTATGTTTGAATCACCTGTGGAGTGGGTGTGAGCAAGGGCAGAGATTCCAGATGTAATGCCTCAAATAAGAAAGGAGCTTATCTCTGTCTCCTGTAATAGTCATGGTAGACTTTCTGGGTCGGCACCCTACTCAGCTCCACACAACTATTCAGGGCCAAGAGCTCCTCTTTTTGTTTTTGTTTTTTTAACCATACTTTAAGAGCTCGTGCTGACTGTGTGACTGGCACTGGGTCCCCTCACAACAGGTTCTAGCCTGTGGTCTGTGGAAGATGAAAACACTATCTCGTGGAAGCTCTCCCCTATCCTGTGGCCTCGGCTCCAAAGTGGGCCTCATTTCTCCCCCCATCCCACTGGTTAAACTGAACTGCACGGGGAGCCGGGGGACGCAGTGCAGGCCTGTGCCTGGGAAGGAGAGGAGGGCGGGTTTAGGGTGACTGAGCAGCTGCCACCATATGTGGCAGAAATACGTTGCTCAGCTTGAGGGATGAAAGAATGAGTTGGGGTAGACTTGCGGCAAATCTTTATTTTTACCACCCTCTGCTAGCTATCATTGTCCTCCATGGGCCCTTAGTGGTGTCTAAAAGCTTTCTGCATCCTTCCGTCTGGATCAGCCACCCTGTCTCAGACATTCACCTCATCTCCTGTAACATTCCTCCCCACCCTCACTCTCAGCCAGTGCGTGACTCCATTCCTGTTTTACAGGAACAGTGAGAGAAAACCTCCAGAGTCTCCGTTAATTCCCGCCTCACTCAGCTACCTCCGCGCATCGGTGTCCGTACATTACTTTACCTTGTTACCTTGAATACGTCAGACCAGTATCGAGACCTAGCCTTCCCCTCACGTGCCAGGTGCCACCCGCCCTGCTTACTCAAGGACATGGCTGCAGCTCTTCCTCCTTCTCTGCAGCCAGCAGTTTCCCTCTCCTTTCCATCTGGTCCCCCTTCTACCACATTTCTCTCCTCCCCATTATACAGCAAAAGGTCTCAAAAACGTCTTACTGTTGTGGTTCTCCTCCTTCCATTCTGCCTCATATTTGTTCCGGTCACCAATCATCCTCACCTTGACCTGTCAGCAGCTTTTGAATGCTGCCGTGCACTGTTTTTTGCTTTGGTACTGGGGTCCGAACTCGGGACCTTTTGCTTGCAAAGCAGTTAGTGGAACCGCTGAGCTTAATCCCTGGCCCTGCCACACACTGTTTTTGACAGACCTCTTCACTGTGGTAGCTGGTTTTCTTTCCAAATCGCAGCTGGTCTTCTGACCGTCTCTTGCTGGTCCCCTCTTGCCTTATTAACCTGTGAGGTGAGGGGGGAATGCTTCAAGATGTAGTGCTTGGGCAGCTTCTTTTCCACGTAGGCCATGGTAACATCATCCTGACTCAAATGGATACTTTAAGTAGTATCTGTCAGTGGTTCCCAAATAGCTTCCCTGAACTCCAGACCCAAGTATTCACATATCTGTTCCACATCTTCACTTGGGTGTCTGCTTGTTCTTTCAAATTCATGATAACTAAAAAACCCCAAACCCTGCTTCTCCTATAGCCTTTCCAGTTTTAGCTCATAGCAACTCTCTTCACTTGCCCAAGCCAAAAACTATAGATGTATCCTGGATTCCTCTTTTCCACTAGGCCTGTCTCCCACATCTAATCCAAGAGGAAACCCTACTGCCCCTCTGCCGTTAAAAATCACCTCAGCACTCCCACTATGTGCAATTAGTCTAAGCCTCCCCAGATCTCACCTGCATAAGGGCAAAAGCCCCTCACTCATCATCTGCTAGCAAATCACAGCACAAGCATTTGATTGGGTTGCTCCTGTTCCCATTTGGGGCTGCTGCCTCTCTTCCTTTTCTTCCTCCTCCTTGTCCTGCTTCCTCCTCTTCCTCTTTTTCCTCTTTCCCTCCTCCTCTTCTTCCTCTTCCCCTCTTCCTCCTCCTCCTCAGTACCAAGGATTGAACTCAGGGCCTTTGCACTGAGCTACAATCGCTGCCCATTTTTATTTTGAGACAGGGCCTCACTAAATTCCTAGGTTGGCCAGGTTGGGCTTGAACTTGCAATCCTCTCTCCTCAGCCTCCCAGTGTTCTGGGATTACAGATGTGCATTGCCATGCCCAGCTCTTTCAGGGCTTTTTAATCTCCCAAACCTATTCTTAGGAAAAGACAAAATGCTCAGCAACCATGAGACACTGTACTACCTAACCCTAAACTTTATGTCTCCAAATACCTTTTCTATTGCTCAATCTGGCCAGACTCACTATCTTTTTTTCTTTTCTTTACTTTTCTTTTTTTTTCTTGTTACCGGGGTTTGAACTTGGGACGTTGCACTTGTGAGGCAGGGAGCAGAACCACTGAGCTAGAGATTCACTACCTTGCCAGGCTGCCTTTTGCCCCAGAGCCTTATCCCCCTGGTCTCTGTGCATGCAGTCTCATCCTGCCCTAGATTTTTGCTTGACTCCTCCTCCATTCCTGTCTGATCTTTGCTCATGTATCATTTTTTGTGGAGCTCTTCCCTCGTTCTCCTATTTTAAAGCATAAGCTCATATCCAGTATTTATCCCTCCTGCCTTTTCTCCTCAGCACTTATGAGCAGCTCATTTACTGAAGGTTCTATAAATTTTTCTCTTCTTTCTCTCTGCACCCTCAGTAGAAGGCAGGCTTCACGAGGACAGAATATTTTATTTATTCACTGATTTGTCCTTACCACATAAAATAGCCTGACTTACAGCTACCCAATAGATATTTCTTGCCCAAACAACTTCCCGCTGTTTAATCTACTTTTTCCGCTCCGTTTTAGAGTCTCACAAGTTACGATGTCTGCAGCATACTTCTTGGGATGTCTACCATGCTTGTGTGGCTTGGGGTCATCCGATACCTGGGTTTCTTTGAGAAGTACAATGTAAGGCGTTCTGGGATTTCTGGGCTGTTGATGGTCACTCCACTGCTGTGGATGAAAGACAAAGGCATTTTAACGACCTCTCTTACTTTTCAGCTCCTCATTCTGACCCTTCAGGCAGCGTTGCCCAATGTCATCAGGTTCTGCTGTTGTGCAGCTATGATTTATTTAGGCTACTGCTTTTGTGGGTGGATTGTGCTGGGGCCTTACCACGAGAAGGTACTGATTAACTATTTTTTTCCTGTTATCACTAAGCTTCAGAATAGAGCTAATGGCCTCCTCCTCCTCCTCCTCCTTCTTCAGTGAACTTCTTTTATTTTGTGACTCACTTAAAAAGACAAATGTCTATCTATTGCTCTATTTATAAACTAGTAAAATGTGATCAACTCAAGAATCATTTGAAGCTGGATTGCTTCAGATCTTGTTTGGAAAATGTCAGATAATTAAGCTCTTTCTACCAACAGGGAAGTCAATTTTAATTAATTTGATTCATTAAAAATGTACTAGAATAAAAAAGGTACTAGAATAGACGATGGGTAAACCTTCTGAAAATGTGACTTTATTTTTTAGAAAGTAGTATGAGGAGAAATGTGTAGGATACTTAAAAATTTTGCTACCGGAGCAATAATCGAACCTTATGTATTGGTGTATATGGGATGAACTTTAAGAGGAGACATTTGAGCATGCATGTTTGGGACTGGGATCTCTGCAGAAGCACCTCAAGGGTCTCATTCTATGACGGTAAAGGGAAAGGGGAAGGGGTAACCTAGAAAGTCACTGAGAAGGAGGAGGACAGGCATATGGGGAAAATGAGAGCCAAGTTCTGTCATGTAAGGGCTACAAGATCCCAATGATGAATATAACTGTACTGTATACTTAAAAAGTACCAATAAACTCAATGAAAAGAAAGAGAGTCACTGAGAATACAGAACTGTCCCTTCTACCTGCATTCAGACTGTTTCAACTAAGAGAAGCTGCAAGAAAAAGCTGTTCATCCCAGGAAGGAAGAGCGTAGGTTTGTGCATGGCATATCCATCACAAAACAAAATGCTTGTCCTGCTTCAAGTTATCTGTTTGAAAAGGATATCTTGGAATGTGTGGCCTCATTATTTTTAAGATGTCATGAACAAAGCTCTGTAGGGGGAAAGAATATGTAAGAAAATGAACTTTTCTATTTTCTTTTTCCAGTTCCGTTCTCTGAACAGGGTCTCTGAGTGCCTTTTTTCTTTGATAAATGGAGATGATATGTTTGGCACATTTGCAAAAATGCAGCAGAAAAGTTACTTGGTCTGGCTGTTTAGCAGAATTTATCTCTACTCATTCATCAGCCTCTTTATATATATGATTTTAAGCCTCTTCATTGCACTGATCACTGATACATATGAAACCATTAAGGTAGGTTTATCATAAGTAGCAGCATTCTTCTAGAGTTTGTATTATAACAGTGAAATTTAGTAACTGAAGGGAGGGAATTGACGGAATGTTGATTTGTCCAGGATAGAGAAGGACCTCAATTTCAGAGACTGGGAAACAGAAATGAAGGAGAAATGCACTTTACAGAATGTTGAGTCATACAAGTAATGGTGCTTTTTCAAGTAAGCTTTCTAACATTTTATTACAAGTATAAAAGTTGAAGGGAAAGGAAAAATATGAGAAAAGGAAAAAATGGAAACCAAGTCTTTGTAAATAGTGAGGGGTAGAGGGGTTGAAAGGAGGGCAGGGGAATGGGGGAAAATAAAAGAACCAAGCTATATCACGTAAAGGTACAAATTCTCAGTGGTGAATGTCATCATATTGTACAACTAAAATGCACCAAAAAACTTAATTTTAAACAGTGTAAAAGTAAATTTTGGGTGAATAAAATAGATGGTATTGTAGAAAGCCAAAATTTTAGCTTTAAGAATACAATTTTTGCAAAGAAAAATGAGCCTTTTCATTTGGGATGAACCATTACTTTCTGCAAGGCTCAACCTTAGGGCCCAGAACAGCAGAAGGACTGACGTGTCCAGGACTGGTCATGTTTGCTTTATAGTCAGAAATATGACTTTAAAATCTACGCATCTAAGCCCTTTGAAGAAGAATATTCTACCTTTGACAAGGGAGAATAATTACCTCTGTATTTAAATTTCTACTAACTTTATATTGCTAGGTGTACTATTGGCATAGACATTCCGTGTGGGGACTTTTTCCTCTGGGACTGAGAAGAATAATGAAACATTTTACCAAGTGATTGGCCCTGGGGATGATGAGAAGGCCATTGGTTGGACTTGATCATGATGGATCCCTTTCTCACGAAGCCTGGAGCAAGGCTTCACTCTCACTGAACCATATTTGAGGGACTGACCATCCTCCTTACTCTCTTCAGTATTTGTTTGGCAGATATATACATTGGTCTACAAGCTGACTGGGAAAGCATGTAGATACAACTGTCCTAATCCCTCCCCTTCACCATGACCTTCACCTCTTCACGCTGAGAACTAGCTGCCATTCCAGGGTGACATCCAAGATCTCTAAGGATATTTCTTAATGACAGAAGACTGAGCCTCCTGTTGCAGTTATTAGTCTCTATGGGCTCAGAGCACTTGCCAAATGGGCAAACTAAGCGAGTTCTTATCTTTTCTGATCAGGGCATGTCTTAAGGATCTCCAATCCCAACCTCTTACGCACACCATACTCGCCTGCCTGGAGGAGTTGACTACAAAGGGTGTACAGGTTGGAAATGTGTCTCTAGAATTCAGGTCTCTGTTCAGACACCTGTGTCATCTCCAAAGTGTCCACAGCTGTGCTGAGGTCATTCCGGGAAAACTAAGAATGTTCACTCTCAGCCCCCCAAACATCTCATTAATCTCAATCAGCTGGGTTCTAGCCAAGAAGCTTGATTTACATCACCTGTAAGTCACCGTGCTACAGGGCAGAGTGGCTCAATTCTCCCCAGACAGAACCAGACCCCACGTGGCCTCCCTTGGGCTGAGTAGATCTGGAAAAGAAATGAAGGGAGGGAGCCATGCAGTCCCAGACCTGCCTCACCTCAGCCAAAACTAAGAGTGACTCCAGAGGCTACGTTTCCTAAAAATATTTGGGAATCCCAAACTGTGCCTCTAGAAAAAAAAAAAATCCCTCCCTTGCCAAATGATTTATTTTGAATTTGGTATAAAGCTGTTTTCACGGAGCTTATTAATGAGAGCTTTTTCATTCTTCTCTATAGCACTATCAACAAAATGGCTTTCCCGAGACTGAACTTCATACGTTTATATCAGAGTGCAAAGATCTACCCAATTCTGGAAAATACAGACTAGAAGATGATCCTCCAGCATCTTTATTCTGCTGTTGTAAAAAGTAGTTATCAGGGTGACCTGTGCCCTAGAAGAATATGTGATGTGTAGCTGAGTTGGGGAAACTGTATAGAGATTTTATAGTATGTTCAAATACTTATTCTTTTTAGCTAATTACAGCTATCTATAACTCAAAAAGAACTATTTATATTTTAAAATAATATATTTCTACTTTATATTGGGGTTTAAATAACTAATTTTGTTGAGGGAAGATACTGGATTATTGTCCTGTCATATTTATTTGTCATTTTTTAGAATGTGTTCCCTAAGCCCCTCTTTACTCTGGCTGTGTGATTTGTGTCCTCAGTGAAAACAATCCCCAGTCTTACTGGGACTTTGGGAAATTTGGTTCTATTCCTGAAAAAAGTGTGGATAGTTACTCTGTGTCCATTCTCACTGCATTTAAAAATCTTCTCTTAAAAGACAGAGCAAGAAATAGCCATTTCCAACTAACAGAAGGTTCTGAAGGACAGTTGCTACTGGATCCTGATTTTAATTCTGGAGAGGATCAAGTATTTTGATATTCATTTCTAAATTTCTCTGCTCCTTCAGTGTTAAAGTGAAGAGTTGAAAAGGTATCTTTACATAAATGAAAAAACAGATACCAAATGTATATCCAATTAAGCAATGATGATTGTATTAGGATTTTGGCAACTTTGTGTTATACTGTGCCTTTCATAGATGCATTAAGTCTCATAGCAAAGCAATTTGAGGTCAGGAATGGTTTATCTCCTTGGCTGGCTCCTCCTCTCTTTTCCTCTCTCTACTTTCTGGTTTCCATGGGTTGGGCACCTTTTCCTGCATCATGCCCCTCTGCCGTGCAGTTTCAGCCTCGGAGCCAGTCAACCGTGAGCTGAAACTGAGTCAGATAAACCACTCCAACTTTAAGTTCTGGGTATTGAGTACTGTCCAGTGGATGAGAGGATGGCTAAGACAGTGCCTGTTGACAGTTCATCTTGACGGTCAACTTGATTGGCTTGAGAGATACCTAGGAGATCACTAAAGCACACTCTTGTCCTAGGAGTATGACCTTGGGGACTATATCTGGTTCCTGGTCCCTTCCTCAATACTAGGAACAGATGGCTCCCTTAGTTGTGGCTACAAATAAAGAACTGCCCATAAAGGTCAGGATTCACACTAGCCTTTTACAAGTTAGGAGAGGGAGCATTTCAGTCAAGACAGACACCTCAAGTAAGTGGGTTTATAACCATCAACTCTGATATTTTAGGATTTGTTAAAATCCCAATAATCTGTTTTTCTGTTGAAATAATTTTCTGTTAAAATCATTTGTTTTCTGTTAAAATCATTTAAAAATAGACTTATATTTTTCTGTTTTCTGTTAAATCATTTTTAAATAGACAGGTTTTATGGGTGCCATCTTTAAACAATTCAAATACCATGTTCTTCCTTTATTTTAATAAAGCTTTAAAACCTGAAAGATGTAACTGAGTTTTAATCTTCTTGTCCCAGCACACCATTTTCAGTTTAAATTAACAATGCAAATGTACAGGTGCATGAATTAGATGAGACAAAAGATAAAACTCATTACTTGCAGAAGACATGATCTATATAGCAAGCCTAATTGAATCTACAAATTCTCAAAACTTATTAAAAGATTCAATGAGATCATTGGACGTAATAATCATTACTATTTATAATCATCTAGAAAGTATAATAGAAATGAAATAACATTCACGTAGAAACAAAAATTAGAAATTATCCAGCAATTATCCTATGGTAGAAAGCACAAGACCTTTCCAGAGAAAATGTCAAAAACTCTATCACAGGACATAAGAAGCAACCTGAATAATTGCAGAGATGATGTATTTATGGATAAGGACAAATACAATAAAGGTGCAGTTCTCTTCAGTGCAGTCTGTAAATTGAATCAGCAGCGAACATCCAGCTCTATTGTCTCAGGTATTGTGTTATTGCAAGAGAAAATGAACTAAGATGATGGCTACAGCAATCTGAAAATGAGAACCTGAAAATGAGAACATGGCTTTGCAGCTGGGTGATGGTATAGGCGGCACAGTTTTGAAATAAATGCTGAAAAAAGTATGTCTGTCTTTCTCCAGACTATTAATTAAGGGCAATTCTGGGCAGGGATCAGAAAAAGACAAAAAGACCAGGAAAGTGTGGAACTTAGATATTTCTTAAGTGGTTGTGACCAGAGTGCGGACAGAGATGCGGGACAGTAAAGGCCAGGAATACATGACTGGGAACTAGACTCAAGGTCACCCTTGTTACATAGTTACAAGCAAGGTGGCTGCATTGTATCCACATCCGAGGGATTGTAAAGAGCAAAATTTAAGAATGATGATTAGTTTATCCTGTGGAAGAAATATGTAAGGAGCAAAACACTTAAGCCACAAGGTTACTTTTAACTCCTTACAGAGATACAGTAGCAAAGGGATGACTAAAGGTGAAATTTGTCATTAAAAGGGAAGCACATCATGAAAATTTAAAAAGTTAACAGCCTGGCCATGTAAGGAGTAAAAAGGCACGTCCAACAGAGAATGCTAAGTGTGTGCCCACATTACTCTGTTACAAAAACAGATCAAAACAGACACAAGGAAACCAGATATTACTTATTTGAACAATGAGGAGAAGGCCCCAAATGTATTTCAGAGCTCTGAGGAGAGCAGAGTGGTTTTGGGGGCCCTCATGAGCTTGCTGCTTAGGACCCTGATCCCTGCAAGTAGTCACATTCAGCTATAGTTTAAGCAGCCCAGGAATGGCCAAGGTTACAGATATGAAACAGTAAACTTTGGCAGCACTATGCCATGCCTCAAGTGAGCCCAGCTCTGTTGCTCTAAAAGACACAAACAAATCATAATGGTATCCACAGCCACCCAGTGCTAATTCTGCAGAATGCAAGAGTGCTAAAGATATGGAAGCCTCCACCTAAAATTCAAAGGATGTCATGAACTGCCTGAGAGCCATGTGAAATCTGCCACAGGGAAGGAGCTAGCACAGAGTACCTGCCAGGTCATTGTCTAGTGGAGATACAGGAGAGGAACTGCTGCTGGGCCTTCAAGATGGATAAGCCACTGGCAGTATGCAACCCAAACACCAGTGTGCAATTCCACTGGAAGAGTCGGCGTGTGTGTTGAACCCTGCCCCAGTGTGTCCAGGAGGCTGCACATACAGTGAAAGATTCTTCTGGAGGATTAAGATTTAATCCTTGTTGGGATTTGTAGTTTTGCCTGGGGCCTTTTACCCCTTCCTTATGGCCTGCTTCAGCTTTTTGGAATGGCAATGTCTATCTTATTCATGTCTTGCCACCATATCTTGGAAGTTGATAGCTTATTTTGACTTTGCAGGTTAATGGAATTTGCCTTGAATCTTCGATAAGACTATAGACTTTTAAGTTGATCCTGGAACTAGTTAAGACATGGGATCTATTGGAATGAAATCAATGTATTGTATATTTAGAGAGGGTGCAAGTCTGGGTGGCAAGGAGCTGAATGCTATGATTTGAGTGTATTCTCCTGAAGTTCATGGGAAGGTGGGTGTACTGGGGTGTTTGGCTCTTGGGGATGGACACCTCGTAAATGTGTTAATGTTTTTCTCATAGGTCAGCTCTCTCAGAAGTTTGCCCCCCCCTTCTTTTCCATATATGCCTGATTGTCCTTCTGCATTCTGCCATGAATTGAAGCAGTACGAGGTCCTCACCTGAAGTCAAGAAAATACCATTATGCTTTGGGATTCTCTTATCTCTAGAACAATGAGGCTGATGAACATCTTTATTTGGTAAATTAGCTAATGTTTAGTATTTCTGTTATTGCAACAGAAAATGAGCTAAGACACTATTGTCAAAACTCAGGTGACCAGAGATTTAGCTCTGCGGTTCGGTGGCCTGCCTGGTACCAAAAAAAAAAAAAACAAACAAACAAACAAAAAAAAAACCCTCAGGCAAAAAGAGACAATCTAAATAAATCAATATGCAGTTTATTAAATAAGCTGAATGAATAGTAATTTTCAAAACTCCCAGATGGAGTCACTGATGATTTCTACCAAATACAGAGGAAAGAATTATACCAATTCTTCATAATTTCTTCTAGAACACAGAATCAGAAGGCATATTTCTTCATTCTATGCACCCAGACTAAACCCTAATTTCAAAACCAGATAAGGCTATGAAAAAACCAATGGACTTGCATCTCTCATGTATATAGATGAAAAAATACTAAGTAATAACATAAGCAGATTAAATCCAACAGCATATAAGAACAATTACACACTGTATTTATGAAAAATTTACTCCAGGTGTATAAGGGTGATTCAACATTCAAAGATAAGTTAATGGAATCCATCATATCAAAAAAGGAAATCACATGCTCATATCCATAAATTCAGAAAAAAGTTCTTTTTTTTTTTTTTTAACCAGGGATTGAACTCAGGACCTTGTGCTTGCAAGGCAAGTGTGTGGCACCACTGTGCTAAATCCCCAGCCCAGAAAAATGTATTTGACAAAACCTGACATTCATTCACAATAAGAACCTCAACAAACCAGGAGTATAGGAAAATGTCCTTCACTTAATAAAAAATATCTACAAAAAACCCTGCAATTAATACCATACTAATGGTGAGCAATTTAAGAGACTTTCCTTCTAAGTTGGGTAATCAAGCAAAGATGTTTGTTCCCTCTCATCACTCTTTCTCAACATTATACTAGCAGTCCTCGATAATGCAATAAAACAAGAAAAGCAAATGAAAGATACACAGATGAGGAAGGGAGAAATGAAAATTTCTTTGCACATGATATACAAAAATCTAAAATAATTAAAAAATTTCTTGGAATATTCAGCAATTATAACAAGGTCAAAATACAAAAGTCAGCCCAGAGTGACGTACTCTGCAAAATGATCTTTCAAAATTGATGGAGAAATAAGATACTTCATGACAAAGAGCACCTGAGGAACTTCATGAATACCAAACCAGCACTCCAAAAATTTTTAAACAATAACTGAGGGGAAGACAATGAGGATCACAAGTCTAGGATGCCCAGCAGAATGAATCCATCAGACATGACAAGAAATTAAATGCAAAGGGGGAGGATCCAACAAACAAAAAAAGGTAATGACAAGGATAAGTCAATACATATCAGTTATACCCATCAATGTTAATGGTCTCAATTCATCAATCAAAAGAAATAGATTGGCAGAATGGGTCAAGAAGCATGATCCAACAATATGCTGCATAAAAGAAACACACAAGTAAAAAAGAAACTCACAGATGCAAAGTTAAAGGGTGGAAAACAATACTCCATGTGACAGGAACCCCCAAAGGTAGCAGTAGCTATCCTATTTGCTGATCAAATGTATTTCAAACCAACACTAGTTAAGAGAGACAAAGAAGATCACTACATCCTTGTAAAGGGAAAAATCCAAGAGGAAGAGATAACAATCATAAATATATATGCACCAAATAATAATGCACCTAATTATATAAAACAAATATTAATGGACATGAAAAATCAAATAAGCACTAAATACAATAGTAGTGGAGGACCTCAATACCCCACTGTCACAAATATATAAAACTAAGTCACTTTCCTAGCCATAGGTAACGAACAACTGGAATTTGAAATTGAAACCAAATATCATTTACATTAGTAGCCTGAAAACAAAATATCTAGGTATATAAATTTAACAGAATAACTGAAAGATCTATATGAAGAAAAATTTTTAAAACTTCTATGGAGCCAGTAAAAGAAGGAAGTAAGAGATAACCCATGTTTATGGATTAAAAAGCACAATATTGTCAAGATGTCAGTTTTTCTCAACTTCGTCTATAGATTCAATACAATCCCAATTAAAATCCAAGAAATTATTGTGAATATTTACAAAATATTTCTAAAGTTTATCTAAGAAGGCAAAAGGTTTAGAGTAGCCAATGCAATATTGAAGTGAAAGGTCAAAGTTGGAAAATTGATCCTACCCAATGTCAAGACTTACCATAAAGGTACAGAAATCAAAACACCATGGTATTGGTGAAAGAAAAACATGAATATAACAGGATAGCTCAGAAATACACCCACAAGATAGTCTTTGAACAAATGATGTTGAACAATTGGACATCCATACACAAAAACAAGAATATGGCAGATCTTCTATTCATCACAAAAATGAACTCGAAATAGGTTATAAACATAAATGCAAAAACAAACAAGTAAACAAAACCGGGAGAAAATCTATATGCCATTGGGGATGGAACTCAGAACCTTGTGCTTATAAAGCAGGCAAAGTGCCAATGAGATAAATGGCTAGTCTGGAAGTGATTTT